CCCCCCCGCAGGCGGGGGGGGGGGGGGGCTGCCGGGGGTAGAAGGTGGATAAGGGTGTCTTTACCGCCTGGGCTAGAAGCGGGCAGGGTGGGCCGGGAGTGGCGGACTGGCTGCTTGTGGGTGCTGAAGGAGGAGGGAGCGGGCGTCTCCTTCCGAGGCTGGCAGGGCCCTGGAGTTGCTGTGCCAGTCTGGAAAGACGAGAGGGGCAAAGAGTGGTGTTTTACAGGACGGAGTCTGGTGACGGAACGTACAAAGCTTTTGAGTTACATGGAATTCTTGGTCGTGACATCAGTGTGCCGTTTTACCAGCGAGGGCCCCTTGGCCCGCCTCTCAGCAGAGCCATAGTCAGAAGCGTTTGCCATCACTTCGGAGGAGACCTGACAGGGGTCTAACTGTCAGTTGGCCCAACGCCTCCGCTAGATGTAATGTGAATTTGAAATGTGAAGGAATACTACAGAGTGCCTCTGGGCCTGTACAGAGTACCTTTACTGCTGTTGGTGCTCTCTGGGATCAGGGAGAAAGGCTTCCTTGAGAGGAGGTGAGCGGGCGGATCCCCCTGCCCAAAGGGGCCTCTTCCGGCATTTGCTTTCCTGCAGACGAACGCGCCTGCCGGAGGAGCCGTGCCCGCCGGTCACCGAGGGCATCTGCCAGAGTGGAGGAGACGCGCGCCTCTTCCTTCCCCCTTTTCCCCGGCTTCACTCTCTTGACGGCCACACTCTGGGCAGGGCTCCTGCAGAGGGACGCCCCCGTTAGTCACCCGCAGGCCATCGAGGGGCTTTCCTTGGCAGCGGGAAGAGGTGCCGGGCCGCCAAGCCCTGCGTGAGACTGGCGGGTGGCAAGAGCAGGAGAACTCGCTGCAGCCTGTGCGGAGGGTGCCAGCGGACTGCTCTGCCACGGGGCGGTCTCTGTGCTGCCGTCCCCGTTCTGGGGGCGGGTGGGAGGCCAAGCAGGAGTGTGTGCCTGCTTGGCACCAGACGGGCAGTTGTGCAGGGGGGGAGGTATGGGGGCTCTGGAGCAGTCTTGCCGGGGGAGGGGACTTTCCCAGCCTGGACCCTGGCGGCCGTGCAGTCTTCCACCCGGCCACACGCGGGGACAGAGCTGGGCCTGGCCGCCTGTGCTTAGGCTGGAGGGCCTATGGCAGATTCTTTTCTGGCCGGGGAGAGGAGCGGTCTTCAGGGGCTGGAGGCCTAATGGTTTGCCAGGGGCCTGGCCTGCAGCAGCAGCAGGGGCTGCTTTGGCCTCCTCCTCGGCACGCTCCAGTCTGACTTGACCATCTTCTCACAGGCCCCCCCCCACTCTCCCCCCCCCCCCCCCCCCCCCCCCGACCGATGTCGGATTCTCTCCCCTCCTGTGGGGGGGAGGCGTTTCTGACGCTCAGCACCGAGGGGAGGGCTGCGGTTCTGTTACAGGCGCACAGCGCTCCCTTGCAGACACCGGGCAGGGAGCGTGGGGGCAGTCAGTGCTTGTAGCCGCCCCCCAAGGGATCTTCCGTTCGCCAGAGGGGAAGACGAGCCGAGAGTGGGATTCGCCATGTTCCCTCTCCTGCCCTCAGCCAAGGCTTCCTCTCCCCCTCCCCAGCCCCCGCTGCTTTCCTGCTTGCAACTTCTGTGCACTTTACATTGTGACTTGTACATTTTTGTCTTAATAAAGTTTTTGGTAACCGCTGAGAAATCTACCTCATGCCAGGCGTGCACTTTCTGTCAGAGGAACTGCATTTACTTTGGGACTGTCCGTGGTCAGAGCGGCCCCCTCCCCCAGCAGGGGAGCACCCTCTGCTGGCTTGGGTTTGTCCCAGGGGTGGGGGTGCTGCTGGGGGGAGGCAGGGGCAGCGGCAGCTTCCGTTGTTGCTCTGCTCATCACTACCTGGGGACTCCCTGTGCACTGAGCAGCGTAACTCTAGAGGAAGGATCTTGGATGCTGAGGGTAGCATCTCCTGCGTTCAGTGGGGCCGTGGCTCAGGGGCAGAGCATCTACTTTGCATGCCGATGGGCTCTCGTTCAGTCCGCGTCATCTCCAGTCGACAGGATTAGGTCATATGTCCAGTCAGGTCCGCGTGGCGTGGCTTGGAGAAGGCAGGCATTTAAAGGAACAGTCCCTGTGAGTGCCTGCCTTCTCCGATCCATGTGCCTCCCCTCCAATACTCCGAGCAGTGGATTCTTGTGAGCAAATAATTCTACCTTGTGCAGTGTTCCCTCTAAGCTGAGTTAGTGTGAGCTCAGGAAGGATGGTTCCAGAGCAAACTAATTTATGCAGTAGCCAAATCACCTGCTCCCAACTTTAATGCCAGTAGCTCACAAAGTAGAATTTTTGCTCACAAGACTCCACAGCTTAGAGGGAGCATAGCTTGTGAGCTCCTGGTATTAAAGTTGTGAGCGAGCAATTTGGTTACTGCATCAATTCGTTTGCTCTGGAGCCCCATCCTCCCTGAGCGAAGACAAAAATGTGTGAGCCGGAAGCTAAAAATCTGTGCGGTAAACTCACACTAACTCAGCTTAGAGGGAACACTGCTCCTGTCACCGCCATCCTCACCACTGGCTAATGGCATGAGAGGCCACGGAGGAGCACCAGGCCACGTGGCCAGCCCAAGGCTCTCCTCGCCCAGCCCCCCTTGCCACTAGATGACGGGAGGCTACCAAGGAGCACCAGGCCATGTTACCGTCAGCTTGCGAGCCCGACACTCCTCCGTGACCTCCCACCGCTAGTGGGGAGAATGGAGACCGGGGGCTTGGCCTCCATCCTTGCTGCTGGCAGGCCACGGAGGAGAACTGGGCCATGTTGCTGGCCTAAGGCTCCCCTCGACCTCCATCCTCGTCTGGCTCACCTCCCCCGGACTGCCATTCTTACCCCTAGCAGACGGGGGCCCTGGAGGAGTGCTGGGCCATGCTGCTCCTAGCTCTGCTCCTGCTGAGGGGCCCTCCACCACCAGTGGGGTGGGAGTCAGGGGCCACAGAGGGGAGGGTGTTGCTGGCCCACGGCGCTCGAGAGGAGGGGACTCACCTTTTCCCCCGCGGACCCATTGTCCTGTGCCAAAGGTGGGAAATCTGTATACTAGCACACCCGAGCACACTTTAGGGGGAACTCCGGTCCCAAGATTAATTTACTTTATATCCCACCTTTCTCCTTCATTTTATCCTCACAACAACCCAGTGAGGTTAGGCAAGGCTGAGAGAATGTAAGTGACCCCGGGTCACCCAGCAAGCTTCTGTGGCAGAAGAGAAGAAGAAGAGATTGGATTTATACCTCGCCCTTCACTTGGGAGTCTCAGAGCGGCTTACAAACTCCTTTCCCTTCCCCTCTCCACAACAGGCACCCTGTGGGGTGGGTGGGGCTGAGAGAACTCTGACACAAACTGCTCTTTTTCAAGGACAGCCGTGCCAGAGCTTGCGACTGACCCAAGGTCACACCAGCAGGTGCAAGTGGAGGAGTGGGGGAATCAAACCCGGTTCTCCCAGATTAGAGTCTGCGCACTTCACCACTACACCAAACTGGCTCTCAGAGTGTGAGGATTTGAACCTGGGTTCCTCAGATCCTCGCCTGACACTTTTAACAACTCCGCCACACGGGCTGACGACACCACAGGATGCTTAGCATCACAGCAAGGCATCAGGAGGTCCGCATCCGCGAAACCCAGGCTGTGCAGCCTTCAGAGGTACGTTTTGAGAGAGATGCGGCACCCGTGAACACTCGCTCTGCATAGAAGACGCCAGTCAGGAGGGACCAAGCCCCGTGCGGAGGGGCTGACTCCGGGCCGCCATCTCCTCCGCTCTTCCTCCGCCCGTGACGTAGGACCACAGCACAACCCTTCAACCTGTTTTTTGTTTTAATGTTGGTAACCTTCACATTTTGTTCAACCAGGATAGGTCTTTCTTTTTTTAAAAAAAAGGTTGCCTCAGAATAGCCTTTGGATAAAATAAATACATTTCGCCCCCTGCCTGGGTATTGACTCTGAACTTTCAAAGGGGGAGAGGAAAAGCGCAAACCTTCCTCTCCCCGTACAACAAAACTTACAGACAGCACCTCACTTTAAAACAGAACATGAGACATTTAACATTTCTTCTGCTTTTGTGTTTTTATACAAAGTGACAGAATTAAAAAACCCTAGTGTGTCTAATGCACGAACCCACAACACAAAAAAAAAAAAAAGGGGAGAAGGAACCAAGTAAAAATAAAGTCAGTTTCTCAACCACCCTGGTTTATGAAAGCAGCAAGTGGAAGCGAAGTGCAAGCGGTTTCTTCCATGCGCTGCAGCTGCACGTCTCTATTGGCAGGCAGGGACTATATTGCACATTGATCTCTCTCTCTCTCAGGGCACAATATAACGTGCCGGACTCTAAATACTCTACATATTGCATTGCTAGACTAATGGCTTGGTTTTTTTGGCGCTAAGCAATTAAGCAGGAAGACTCCGTGTGTGCTCGGAGAGTCACGTGAAAAGGCCAGCGAGGACTTTGCGTTGCATTTTCTTTGTTTCTCAAAAATTAAAAAAAAAAAAAAGTGCAATATTGACCAGTCACATCTCTCTCCAAATCGGAAGGTGCTCTAAGGTCTGGCTGGACAGGAGGTCCGAGGTCAGGCGGGAGGCGGGGTGCTTGGAATGGTGTGTTGCCTCCCCCCTCCCCAACCAGCACCTTGCCCGGGTTGACGATGGAAGACCTCCAACTGTCCCCCGAGGGGCAGAGGACTGATAACCTCCGTGAGAATCGGGCATCATTTTTGGCAACTGCTTCGGCACCACTTGGTCCTCTCCCTCCGCCCCCGCGAGGAAAGAGACATGGGTGGGAACCTGGCAATCCGCAGAAGGCAGCAGAGGGCTATTGATCTGACCGTTGCCAGGAGACCCTGGGCTGGACTGGAAGCAGAGACCCCCCCCTTTCTCGGGGTGTGCAGGTGAGACCGGGCAAAGCAAACAGACAAGCCATCGTGTGGGGGGTGGGGGAGGTCAAAGGAGAAAGGCCGGCTTCCCAGCAAGCAGTTCCATTTGGCAGTTCGAGGCTGGCCTTGCCAGGGAGACGGGAGTGTGGACGACTGCACCGCTCCTCCAGGGCCGGCTCTGTTCCCCTAGTCGGCCTTGGCCTCTTCCAGGATCTGTGGAAGGTTTTGATCCTTCCGGGGGGCGACTGGCTTGGCGGCGGGGGCGGGCGTCCCTCCTCCGCTGCCACTGCTCACGCTGCTCCCTCCGCTGTTGTAGTCTTGGATGGCCTTGGGCTCGTTGGTGTGGTAGGAGCCCTTGTAGCGGTGGTGGTGCAGGTACATCAAGAGGAGGATGGCGGCGAGCAGCAGGAGGAGGAAAATGACAACTGGGAGGGGGGGAAAGGGGAGAGGCGGTGAGGAAAGAAGGCAGCACGAGCACACTGGGCCGCTGAGGCCATCTGGCAGGGCTTGGTACGGGAGAATCCCCACGGCTTTCTCTAGCCAAGGAAGCTCACACCTGGCCCAGCCCGGGCAGATGTCCCCTCCCTCCCTCCCATCCTCCCTCCCTCGTTCTCTCGCTCACCTCCAACGACAATCCCCACCCAGCCATCGTCATGGATGTACAGGAAGTCCACTAGAAGAACACAAGACACAAGGAACGTTCACACAGGTGTAGGAGCCGAGGCCCCCACTGGCTTCGGGGTGAAGGCTGGAGCCAGCACATGGGCCACCCCCACCCCCCATTTGATGGGAAGGGTGGGAGAATCCCACCCTGGGAAGACATGTCACATCAGAGGCCCTTCCAGGGAAGAAGACTTCATGTGGCCGGCCGGGGGGGTGCCTCAGAGACAGGGCTGCTCGCTGGAAGAGCCTGCCTGAGCCCTTGCGGCCTCCCTCTCCACCAAGCAGGGCTGGCTTCCAGGGGAGGGGAGGGGAGGGGTCTTGTACACCGAAGCCAGCACCTGCAGTGGGTCCTGACTGAGGCACAGCCTGTCGTGCCTGGCCCAGCTGGCCAAGAAAATCCCCAGCCGCACAGGAAGCCACCAAGGCTATGGGGCACAACCAGGGCTTTTTTTTGTAGAAAAAGCCCAGCAGGAACGCATTAGCATAATAGGCCACACCCAACAGCAGACACTCATTAGGATTGGCTACATTAGGGGTGTGTGGCCTAACATGCAAAGGAGTTCCTGCTACAAAAAAAGGCCTTGGGTTTTGACAATAAACAAGGTAAACAGAATAAGAAGCAAAAGGTGGGTGTGGCTGGATGACCACACGTCTGGCAACATGGGGGTGTGGCCTAATGTGCTAATGAGCTGTGCTGTCATGGATGTGGCCTAATATGCTAATGAGTTCCTCCTGGGCGTGGCCAACGCAGGAGCCAGCTGGAACTCCGTTCCTGAGTGTTCCTGCCCAAAAATAGCCCTGGGCAGAACTACAGCCTGGGGGTCTAGAAAAACCACCTCTGCATTGGTGGGGGTTCCGCGGCCCTTCCTCCGTGGCCAGGGAGCCGCTTCGCAGCCCAGGCCCATTACAAATGATTAGGAAAAGAACTGCTAAGTGGCTCCCTGCCCACGGAGGAAGCGCAGCCGAACTCCCACCGATCTGGGATTCAGAGGTGGGTTTCCCAGAGCAGGCCCTCCTGCCGTGCTCGCTTACCTGGGTTGATGTACCAAGGGTCCAGTTCTGGAGGTATTTCTGCATAAGCCGAAGGCATGGAGGCACAGTTGGACTCCACCAGCCGCCCCTTGATGACATAGCGGTTGCCAGGGTTGCTGTTGGGTCGGAAGATGGCCTTGAGAGGCACGAGGCTGTTGAATTTCACCCCTGAGAGGCAACCGGTGAAACCTGGTGTGTTGTACCTCTGGATCTCAGGGTCAATCGCGCCTGTCTCTGTGGGCCAGAAAAAAGAGCGTTGGCAGCAAAGGGTCAACAAAAGGTTGGTTCTCCCTCCTCTTCCCCTGGAAATTCCTCACCAATGCGGGTCCCGAGAGCCTGTTGGGAAGCAGGCAGCATGCAGGTTTCTAGCCACAAAGGCTGCAAAGATGGGCTGAGAAGGAGATGGGCAAGAGCGGGTGAAAATTCAGGCCGGTGCAGTTAGCAGAGCGCATCCCCAGGGCCAGAGTCCCATGGCAAGCGGCAGCAGCAGCAGCAGCACGATTTACGCAACCCGCATAACAGCCACAGAACCTATGAAACAGTGGGGGTTTTTTTGCCTTCATTCACGTAGAGCCTATAGGGTAGGTGGTGGTGTATTCAAGAAATGCAAAAGGATGTGTCGGCAATGGCGTGGAGGGAGACGAGGCGAAGGGAGAGCTGGAAGAATCGGAGGAAAAAGGAAGAGCAGCTCAGGCCAGTCTCCGTGAAGCAGGAGCAGGAGCAGCCAGGAAGAGCCCCCACGGGTGGCACAGTGGGAGGGGAAGAACAACAGGGTCTGCGTGTGCAGGAGGGCCTGGGCCCCCAGGCAGCCTGGGGAGCAGGGGCGTGAGGCCAACAGACACTGGGAAGGCAGTTGCTCACCCATGAAACGGCCCAGAAAGAGCGTCTTGGGGGAGTCTAGTTTGCTGTCCACAAAGGCAGAGAAGTGCTGCACCATAACAGGGAAATAATCCAGCTGGAGACAGGAAAAAGGAAGAGAGACTCTGAAGCTGACCGAGGGGCCCGACCCGCTCACTCCCCTCTGGGGAAACGCTGTCCCTTCCCCACATAGCCAGAGCCCCGGGCAGTGCCTTCTCCTTCCCTCCACCCAGCCCACACTTACTTGTGTGTACAACGTCCGGTTCACACGTGTGATGTTGATGCGGTGTGGTTGCCCGTCAGCTACTGAGCGGGTGCTCAGGGAATAGACGTACGGGAGGGTGCCCAGCTGGTATCGCAGTTGCAGGATACCTGCAAGGAGGGGCAAACATCAGCCAAGAGAGCTGTTCCCTCGCCAGCGTGCAGCAGAGGGATGGGGAACTGCCCGCTGGGAAGGATAGCGGCTGGTTTCAGCTTCAGCTGGCAAACTCTGTTAGCAAACCCCCCACCACCACCCATCAATCGGCATTCTGCTGCCCCAAATATAAACCAACATACAACAAGTACCGTGCACAGATGTTTTCTGTGAATTACTGCATGTATACTCCTTTAATGTAAGGACAGAGTCTCAAAAAACTTATCTCTAATTCTCAAGCATGACTTTTGGTAGAGGACTGTGTCCCTTTAACTAGCCACGCCTTTTGTGTTCTATAAAACTTTGCAAGGCTAAAGAGTGACTGAACGTGCTTTTCACTTTGGAGGAGGCTTGTAGCTCATAAAAATTTTTTTGCAGCGTTCATTGAAGAGAACTTTGGATTAAAACTTTGGGTAAGAATTTTTCACTTCTTTGAGACTCTGTCTAATATGAGATTACTAGCATTGTAACCAATTCTGTTCTTGCTGTCTTGTATGTTAGTATGTGGCAACCTTGTGTTGAAAATTATTGTTGAACTCCTTGAGGAAGATTCGGAAACAGAAGGATATCTGGACCTCTGTTGGAGGAAGACACGAGCACATGTTATAAAGAGACTTTAAGGAGTCCTCCCTCTTGAAACTTTATTTAACAGAGGAGGACTATTATTAAAGGTTGTACAATAGCTTTTGAGATTCTTGGAGATGATTTTTGATGTTTTGGATTAAGATGATTTATTATATATGTACAAATTATTGTAAAAATATTTTTCAAAAAATATAAAATTATTTATGATATAATTATCTGTGCACGGTACTTGTTGTATGTTGGTTTTCCTACTTACCGTGGGCCCCAAATATAACAGCCAATGGCCATTACCCCACCTATTGGCAGGGAATTCTGTATGTTAATGATGCTGCGTATGAAGCTGTCATGATCTGGGCTGTGCAAGTAAAGGCCTAGCAGGCCCAGGAGCCTGACTAGCAGTGGGCGGAGGCCAGGCCTACAACTCCCAGAAGCCCCTGAGAGGTTTTGGCGCCAATTTTAGCCAATCACAGAGAAAGCGGACTTATAATAAAAGGGCTGGTACAGAAGAAGAGCTGTTCTTTCTTCCCAGAGAGCAGGGCCAGACGGAAGGCGGCTGCTGGGAGAGACCCTCACCCTGAGAGGAGGGGTGAGCAGACTCAGGCCCAACTGAGACAGTGGGCTAGGGACTATGAGTCTAGACGTCTTAGGGCATTTGGTTTCTTTTCTCTCCACCCCCTTATCGCTATTGTTCTTCCACCTTGTTTCCTATATTTGACTGACCTCCTGTAAAAATAAACCTTTTCCTTGTTATACTCTGCCTCGTCCTCACGCCTATTATCCGGCCAAATAAGGGAGGTCTTGGGAGGGTCCCCTGGGCCTTCTCAAGGGATCCTAAAACCAGAGTGGTGGCAGCGTCAAGTGATGACCCACCTGAGCCGTGACAGAAGCCCTCCAACCTTGGGAGCCAACCCATATCAGTTGGCCAATGCTGAGCTTTGCTCGTGTGAGAGAGAAAAATCTCTCTACATCTCTGGGGATTTTTGCTTTAATTTTTCTGGTCTGAGATGGCCTAGCACTTTATTTAGCTTTTCTTCATTTTAATGCCCTTTTCTGCACCCTAACCCCCCAATATGGACTGTGGAATTGATTTATTTTTTTTGCTGATTTTCCTGGTTAGTCACACTTACAATTGGAATTTAAAGTGGGATTTCCCCCCCCCCGCCGCCCCCCAAAGTGCACTGGGAGCAGTGGCACAGAGGATTTATCCTCTGGTTATAATACTAACATCTGAGCTGAACAGGCTTGCTGTCAGTTCTAGCCCCACGCTGGTGTGAGCTACCAGCCCTATCCCCAGCTCGCCGTCTCCCCAGCGGTTTGAAAGCTTCGGCGAGTAGATAAAATGGGTACCACTCCTTAGAGAGAGTGGGCACACTGAACCCCCCCCCGGGGGGGTGGAGCGGTGTTAGCCAATGAACGGAAGTCGAGCTCGCAAGATCGGAAAGCCTACAGAGATCTCCTCGGCATGAAGAAAAGCCTGTAATGGGCCGTTCTGGCCAGGCGGTGGCAATGCGGCGCTACAACTCGAAGGAGTCTGGAGAAAAGCTGACGCCATCAAACCAGGCCGAGGAAAAATGCTGACCGGATCACGTCTCATCTTCAACTGCATGAATCCCTCGTCGGCTGCGAATGTGTGTGATTTAAGATGTATATATGTTGTCCTCCCTTACCCCACGAATCATTGTTAGTCCCTCATAAAAATGAGTAACTGTAAATTGCTCAGAGCCAGCAAGCTCTGCAGGATTGAGCAATCAATAAATTGAGAGATGATGATGATGATTATTATTATTATTATTATCCCATCACACTTACATTGAACTTCCTGTGTTATTTTGCTGGCCATTCACACAGAGCTTGGCCATTCTGGAGAGCTTGTTCTCATACATTTTCCCAATCCTGAACAACTGGGTGCCACCCACAGCTTGGGATGCACTCACCTCGTTCCTGAGCATGTTAAACAGGCCCTGTTCCTGCACAGGCTGTCCTCGCTGGCTGCTACTGCCTGCTTCCCTTCCTTGTGAAGAGCACTCTGATTCCCACCCTCCTCCTCCTGGTTCGTTAGATACCAATAGACAGAAATATCTGTCTTCTGAATTTACTCCAGAATTTCGGGTGAGGGCCTGTGTTAAAAACTTTGCGGAAGTCCAAGGAAATAATGTCTACAAGTTTCTTGACACACTCGAAGAATTCTAAAAGATTAGTAAAGCAGGGCTTCTGTTTTCAGGAGCCAAGCTGATTCTTCCTCAGCAAGGGTTGTTCTTCTCTGTATTAAAGAACTCTCAATTGTGCAGGCTTTGCACTAGTTCAAGCGGGACAAATGCCAGTAGGTTTGCCATGCAGCATCTTAAATGTAAACAGATTCATGGGAGCCCAAGCTCTCCTGGGCAGACAGAACACCCCTGGGTGTCTCCTGAAGCTCTCCACTGAAAGCACTCCAGCACATCATCCGTGATCTCACACTCATTGTGCATAAGGATTCTTCTTTCTCACGGGACTTGGATGTTACATCTATTAGTACACTCTTCCTGCCCTTCATCCAAGGAGCTCAGGGTGGTGCACATCATTCTTACTTTCTCCACTGTTATTCCCAAAACTGCTCTGGGAGTTAGGCAATGGTGAGAGAAACTGCCTGGCCCAAGGTGAGCTTAAGAACGTAAGAACATAAGAGATGCCAATGTTGGATCAGGCCAATGGCCCATCCAGTCCAACACTCTGTGTCACACAGTGACCAAAAATACCAGGTGCCATCAGGAGGTCCACCAGTGGGGCCAGGACACTAGAAGCCCTCCCACTGTTGACCCCCCCAAGCACCAAGAAGACAGGGCATCACTTGCCCCAGAACCCCTATCTATACCTTGTGGCTAATAGCCACTGATGGACCTCTGCTCCAGATGCTTATCTAATTCCCTCTTGAAGCCGTCGATGCTTGTAGCCACCACCACTTCCTGTGGCAGTGAATTCCAAGTGTTAATCACTCTTTGGGTGAAGAAGTACTTCCTCTTATCCGTTCTAACCCGACCGCTCAGCAATTTCATGGAGTGCCCACGGGTTCTTGTATTGTGAGAAAGGGAGAAAAGTACCTCTTTCTCTACCTGCTCTTTCCCATGCATAATCTTATAAACCTCAATCATGTCACCCCTCAGTCGTCGTTTCTCCAAGCTAAAGAGCCCTAAGCACCTTAACCTTTCCTCATACGGAAAGTGTTCCAACCCCTTTATCATTCGAGTTGCCCTTTTCTGCACTTTTTCCAAAGCTATAATATCCTTTTTAAGGTGTGGTGACCAGAACTGCACACAGTATTCCAAATGAGGTCGCACCATTGATTTATATAGGGGCATTATGATATTGGCTGATCTGTTTTCAATACCCTTCCTAATAATCCCCAGCATAGCATTGGCCTTCTTTATTGCAGTCACACACTGTCTCGACATTTTCAGTGAGTTATCTACTACAACTCCAAGATCTCTCTCTTGATCAGTCTCTGCCAGTTCAGACCCCATCAACGTGTATTTATAGTTAGGATTTTTGGCTCCAATGTGCATCACCTTGCACTTGGCCACATTGAACCCCATTTGCCATGTTGACGCCCACTCGCCCATCCTTGACAGATCCCCTTGGAGTGCCTCACAATCCTCACTGGTTTTCACCACCCTGAACAACTTCGTATCATCCGCAAATTTAGCCACTTCACTGCTTACTCCCAACTCCAAATCATTAATGAACAAGTTAAAAAGCAGTGGACCAAGTACTGATCCCTGTGGTACCCCACTGCTTACACCCCTCCACTGGGAGAACTGCCCATTTATACTCACTCTCTGTTTTCTATTAATTAGCCAGTTTTTGATCCATAAAAGGACTTGTCCTTTTATCCCATGATTTTTGAGCTTACTTAGGAGCCTTTGATGAGGAACTTTATCAAAAGCTTTCTGGAAGTCAAGGTAAACAATATCTATTGGATCCCCCTTGTCCACATGTTTGTTCACCCCCTCAAAGAACACTAACAGGTTAGTGAGACAAGATCTTCCCTTACAGAAACCGTGCTGAGTCTGCCTCAATAGGTTTTGTTCATCTATGTGCCTACTAATTCTTTCCTTAATAATGGTTTCCACCAATTTACCCGGTATCGACGTCAGACTGACTGGCCTGTAATTTCCCGGATCTCCTCTGGAACCCTTTTTAAAGATGGGAGTGACATTAGCTACCTTCCAGTCCTCAGGAATGGAGGCTGATTTTAAGGAGAGATTACATATTTTTGTCAGGAGATCCACAAGTTCACAATTGAGTTCTTTCAGAACTCTTGGATGTATGCCATCTGGGCCTGGTGATTTATCAGTTTTTAAGTTGTTTATCAGTTTTAGGACCTCCTCTCTCGTCA